TTTCTAGATTCACTCAAATATTAGGAAAAAAGTGGAAGGCATGTTTGGTAGAATGAATTCAAAGAATTTACATACAAATTTGACAGCTAAATAATTCCTGTCCAATCAGCCTAGGTCTGCCTTGGCAAGTGTAGTCGGGCCTCCTGATGCATGTCCTTTATTCTTCTATTTCTTTGCAGGAATAGTCCACGATCTAAAGCAGGGGTAGTCAACCTTGGCTCTTTTATGACTCGTGGACTTCAACTCCCAGAATTCCTGAGCCTGCACAGCTGGCTCAGCAATTCTGGGAGTTGAAGTCTACGAGTCATAAAAGAGCCAAGGTTGACTACCCCTGATCTAAAGCCTGGTGAGTGAATGTTTTCCTCATCTTTACTATAGTTAACCATAAAATAAAAATTAAAGAAGAACTTCAATAGGTCCCAAGGACTCTTTATTGTTCCTTTCCATGCTCAAATTCCATGTTGAAATAGACAATGAATCAGCAAATAGTTTATCAAATAGGTATTGTTTTTTGGCCATTTGGGGTAAGCTTTTCTATTAGAGCAGGGGTGGTTTCGCTATGATGCATCTGGCCCATGGACCGGCAGTTTGACACCCCTGTATTAGAGGTTTAGCAGATTTATATGTTGTTTCTAATACTGGTAGTCCTCAATTTATAACCATTCATTTAGTGACCATTCAAAGTTACAACAACACTAAAAAAAAATTTTTTTCACACTTACTTTTGCAGCACCCCCATGGTTATGTGATCAAAATTCAGGTGCTTGATAACTGGCATGTATTTATGGTGGTTGCACTTCCTGGGGTCATGTAATCACCAACTGATTCCCAATAAGCAAAGACAATGGAGAAGGCCAGATTTTGTTTAATGACCTCATGATTCATTTAACAGCTGCAGTGATTTGCTTAACAACTATGACAAAAAAGGTCATAAAATTGGGCAAAACTCATTTAACAACTATCTTACTTAGCAGTGGAAATTTGGGGCTCAATTTTGATTGTAAATTGAGGATTGCCTATAATTTCCTCAGATCATCAAGGCCTTTTTGTAAGACCTAAGACTTGTTCAGTATCTTCAGAGTAGTGAAAGAGTTAATCAAGTTTGCCTTAAAGGCCTCTTCAGAAAACTGACTTACTGTGGGAGATCAGGTGGGTTTATTCAGGCAATCTCTGCTCAAGGATAGTAGTAACAGAAATCCTTAGCGTTACCAACTTTCATGTTGCTACAATTAAATTTTAAAGTAGAAGCACTCTTATTTCCAAGATGAGTTATTAATGGGCTAACTTTCTTAAGTGAATTACTATAATGGAAAGATTGGATAATGAATTTGATTTCTGGTACTGACACTGAAGGCCAGAGAGAAAAGTTTTCAAAGTAATCTCTCAGGACTAATTCCTGTCCTTAGAACGAAATCTTGCTTCCTCTTGTCTGCCGCCCTCTATTTTATTTCTGTTACCTTCATTTTATGCATGGTGTGATGTTTTATTAGAGAGCAGAAGGAGTAATGTGGGAACTACTCCCAGGGACTTTTTGTTGTTCTCTTCCTTGTCCAAATTCCATGTTGAAATAGGGGATGAACTAATTGATGATTTCTCAAAATAGGCATTATTATCTTGACCAGTTGGGGTGACCAACTCTATTAGAGATTTAGCAAATTTACGTGTTTTGCTAATAATTCCCCCAGATCATCAAGCCTTTTTGAAATATACACTTGTTCAGTATCTTGCAAGGTACTAAAAGAGTTAAGCAAGTTTGTGTCTAAGAGTTCTTCAGAAAACTGACTTGCTGTGGGAGGTCCAGGTGGCTTATTCAGACAATCTCTGCTCAAGGACAATGGTGATAGAAGACCTTGGAGTTACCAACTTCTATGCTGCTGCAATTAAACTTTTAAGTAGAAACACTCTTATTTCCAAGATTGTTATTAATTGGCTAACTCCCTCTGTGCGAAACCCACCAATGGGAAGATCTTAAATTTGTTTTTAAAAAAAGCTTCATTTTGAACAACATTATGGCAGCGGTAGGATGTTTCCTTGAGAGAAGGTTTGTTTAGTCTCTCTTGCAAGGGAGTCCTTCAATCTATTGCAAATCCAACTGCTTTTCACAGTACAGAAACTGACTGAGGAAGAGAAGAGCTGCATTCTGGATTTCCTGTCTCAACTCTATTAATTTGAATTCCTAGAGTAATTTGATTTGACTGTAAGTAACTTTGTTTGCCTTTCATCCAATGCTTCCTAGGAGGGTAAAACTTGATTTGCACATGCCCCTGGATATAACTTAGAATCTCTTAAGTATATTCTTTGTTCTTTTTTTAGATTTCAAATTAGGAGCCAACTTTCTACCACTATTGCTTGTTTTTGACTCACAGTTCTATGTGAGCTTGTTTAGCTGATTCAGCAGTACTAGCAAGATTTATCCCACTTTTTTTCTGGGATAGTATATTCTGAACCTGTTATATCTGCATCTACACCACCCTTATCCCCATCAGAGTTAGGTGCAAAAGATTAACCATAATTTATGGTGGTCAGAAAGTGTTTCCTAATCTCCTTTAGAATGATGGTAAGATGATGATCTACAAAAATGTAGCCTTTTTATTCACAGCAAGGCCCTGAAGCATCCAAGATGCCTTGAAACCCCTCTCTTAGAACCCCTCAGGCTTTTTGCCCTACTACTTTAAAAAAAAATCTTTTAATTAAAAATAAATGCATGGGAACCCAGCATGTATAGTAGAGCACCAGCCAATAGTATCTTAATTTTTATTATTTCTGGGACTTAGAAATGGTGTACAGGCAGTCTTGAAAAATAAAATTAATAAATGGCTGCAACCCGGTACTTTTCTTGGAAGTAAGTCTTCCTTCTTATCTCCTCTAAAAAATGAGGGGTAGGATAAACAAGCATTGCCTTTTTCTGCAGGAAGATGACTATGTTTTATCCTGTACCATGACATAGAATGTTTGTGTTTGTTTGAAAAACCTGTGCACATATATTCAGTTAAATAATACCATAGTGGTCAGGTATATGTGAATTGGCAATTAAGTGTAGAACTGTAAATCATATTAATTTGGCAATCTGAATTAAGAATGTCCTCTATAGGATAGCATGTTTCCTATGGAATAAACATGTTAAACATTTTATAGTAGGTTTGTTATTAACTTTTAAAATCATAAATTCCAATGGCATCGGACACATTTTATTTGATCTTCATTACTATTAAATTATCCAGGGCAAAAAAGTACCAAAATGGGGAAGTAAGCTATTAAAGAAGCTCCTTAATCTGTTGAAATATTCATTTTGATGAAGATGATTATAATTATATTTTTGTTGAGATCCTAAGAGTATAATTATGTTTTAGAACTAAGGACAAATACAATAATTGGTTTAAAATTGTGATATCTTTAGGAAATACAAACTCAGTTTACAAACAAACATCGTAATGGAACATAAGGAGAAATTAAATCATTGACTAGGACTAATTATCTGATCCACATTTAAATTTTAATGAATATGACATGAAGTCAAATTTAGTTTTGTCTTTGCACTATAAATGACATGCCTTCAGCAGGTAAAACATTTTGATTCTATTTCATGTGCATTTAAATGTGGGTTAAAATGTCTCTAGTTCCTTTTAAGATTATGTATCTATTACATTTTCATTTCTTTTTGTTTCCATGCTCTCTTTCTCTCAGGCCATTTGTGGTTTCTCAGCACAGATAATGGTAGGTAGCTGCTGCTTCTGAACATCTTGCTTTCAAGTTCATAAGAATTCCTAAAGCAGCTTAAAATAATTCCTAATAAAAAGCATTGAATAAATTATAATTCCTTCTGACCTAATTTAGTTCCCTTATGTTAAGATGGAGACATTTTGTTGTTTCAGAGAGGAGGCGAAATAACCTTGCTATTTTGATACTACCTATAGTTATCTGAGTTGTGTTTGTAATTCTTCCAGTTTTTAATAACTAGGATTGAAGTTTTTGGGGTACTAATTTGGAAGCTGGAGTATCTCCTTATTTAGACCTGTAGGGGTAGAAAAGACATATGTATGGATGGTGTGGATCAGTGTCACGTCAGAAATACTTGATGTTATCTGTCTTTACCCTGAAATCTTCATATATTCATATATGTTCAGTTTTGTGCATACAAACCTGTGAGATTAGGGTACTGTATATGAAGGGATGCAGATGAACACCAGAGAAGTAGTAAAAGTATTCAAAAAATCTGGTTGCAAAATTTATCAAAACATTGTTTTTCATTGTTAAGGTTAACTTATCATTATAGACAAAACAGTTTTGTTTTATGCCAAACAAAGTGTTATAGTTAACAGAATGCCACTAGATGGCTTTTTTTTCTTCCATCATTGTTTTTCAAGCTACAGAGAGAAAGTTGATCTTTGAAAGTTCATAGCTCATAATATTGAGATGGAGGATATATATTTAATTTTAAGATTAAATTTTAAGATTAAATATATTGTTTTAGACATCCTTCTCTATCTTAAAAGCATTATTAAATACTTTTCTTGGAAAGGAAATATATCTTAACTGCTTCCAAAGAACTTGCTGTTTCATTGTTATAAAATAGGAGCCATCAAAAATAGTTTTTCTAAATAATCAGGAACAGCTACATCGTATATTTGATGCACATGTAATTGTATGTTACTGTAACAGAAAAGGAAAGATCTGCTTTACTATATTGTGTTGAAATTCTACTGAAAAAAAAACTAAAAGCAAGGTATAGAGTTACATATAGAGGTACTACAGTGCAGCTGTAAGAATGAGCTCCGTGAACCTTTTACAGCTATTTCACAAATACTTTAAAACCCCAGTGTCCTGGTTTGATAAGCCATATTTAGTACTGTATGCTTTAATATTGCAATGAGGCAATGTGAAAATTAACTTTACAATTCAGCATTAATAATAAGCTGAAGAGTGGGGGATAGAAAACATAAACATTAAGATTTCTTCTGTGATATATTACAAACCTGCAACCATGATATGGCTACGGAGTTATGGTTAGTAGGAATCATGGTTTGATTAGAACCAAGCTGAAAAAAGCTACAGGGGAAGGTAAGCATTTTTTCATTGCCTCAACATCAATGGAGTTTAAGAACTCAGTTCAATACTCCCATGGTTTTTTTATCTGAACATTAGAACAGAACATTAGAATAACAGAGTTGGAAGAAACTTGTTCTAGTCCAGGGGTAGAAACTTGTTCTAGTCCAGGCAGCCTTGGCTCTTTTATGACTCGTGGACTTCAACTCCCAGAATTCCTGAGCCAGGAGGGGAAAGGGAGAGTTTCCAAGCTGAGCCATGCTGGCTCAGGAATTCTGGGAGTTGAAGGCCATGAATCATAAAAGAGCCAAGGTTGCCTACCCCTGTTCTAGTCCAACCCTATGCTCAGGCAGGAGACCCTATGGCATTTCACACATTTTAAATCTGATTTAATTAGATTTTTTTTTAAAAAAATATTTTTCTCAACCTAACTTAAACCTAAAAAAATCCCTATTGCACCAATTTTGATGTGAATAACTCAGTAAAACAGTTTTAAAAGGCAAAGAATATTTCATTAACTAGGAGGATGTTTTAATAATAATAATAATAATAATAATAATAATAATAATAATAATAATAATAATAATAATAATAATAATAATAATAATAATAATAAAGTTGGAAGGGACCTTGGAGGTCATCTAGTCCAACCCCCTGCTCAGGCAGGAAACCCTATACCATTTCAGACAAGATCAGTTTAAGGTGGCACAATAGATGGAACTGTTTGACTCTGAAATGCTAGACTTGTCAACTTAGCCACAGCTGTCTGCCCCATTTAAAGAAATGATGAGAGTTATACAAGAATATCTGGAGGGCCACATGTCGTCCGCCTTTGAGACAAACAGAAGACGGTGCCGTACCCTTACCAGATTATTTCCCCATCTAGTCAAACAATATTGTCTTATTTTGACAGTAGCCTTCCTTGCTTTCAGACAAAAGGCTTTCAGACATTGCTCACTTCTCAGCCTTTTTCAACCCAAAGACTGAGTATGATTTCACCATGATGTCCTATAACTCTGGAGCTGCGGTTTCCCATTCTTTTGCTGAAAGCAGGATGTGCTTTGCATTTTCAGCCATGTTGTTTAGTAGCTGTTTGTTTTTTATAAATGTACCCATAACATTATGCTTGAATATTATTCATAAAGTGCAACACCTTCAAACGCTTGCATAAATGTTTTTTTTTTCATAACAAAATCAACCTGTATGTTTTATGCCAGCCATGAAGCAGCCTTCTTCGGTGTCATGTATTTTGTGAGCTCTAGCTACCTTTTCATTATTATGAAAGGAAGTTTGGGAGGGGGGATTAAAGAAAGAAAGCTACCTATGTGTATAATGTGCTCTCTCTCTCTCTCTCCTTCAGATGTAATTAGAATTGCTAAGTGCAGGGACAGACATTTTCTTTTGTTCAGTATTAGACAGGTAATTTACACATACAACAGGAAATGACAAGCAGAAACAAAAGAGCAAAGTTCAACTTGAATTTTAGTAATAAATCAAAGGACTATCTTTGGAAACAATTTTTCCTTAGGGACTGCACACAAATATTCATTTTTGTGTTCCTAAATATCCAGAATAGTGTATATTGGGTTGCCAAATGATGTCGCTTTTATAAAACAGTAGCCAGCTGAAGGGAAAACTGCAGCTGGCTGGAAGTCCTGCAAAAAACCAACAATTGGGGAAAGTGAGGAGGATGTGACTCCTGATAAAACTATGTTTATTTAAGTTGTTGCCTGCTAACTTTAAAACAATGTCCAGAGCCCCTATATCAGTCTGCCCAATCTGCTGCTTTTTAGATATGTTGGACTACAGTTCCCTTGATACTGAATCAGCAAAGCACATTAGGAAAAATGAGATTTTTAGTGCTCTCAGTTACTTTGACAGAATGGTTCATAAGAAAAATGAAATGTTGAGAACTCGGCAAACTTCTGTAGCAGGTATAGGTAACCTTTTGTTTTCCAGATATTGCTGAACTGCAACAACTCCCAGCATTCTTCACCACTGGCCATGTTACCTAGAAATGCTAAGACTTGTTGTTCAAGAACCATCTGAACATTATTTCCTTCAACTAAACTGAATCAAAATATAGCTTATTCATTCTGGATAAATTAATCATTTCAATGTACAAAAGAAGTTGATTGTAGTATTAATTATACATAAGCCAAAATGGAAGTTTATATCAAAACATTGGAGCAATTGTATTTTCTAGAAGATTTGGTGCATTTGCCATTCCATGCCATCTCTCTCTCTCTCTCTCTCTCTCTCTCTCTCTCTCTCTCTCTCTCTCTCTCTCTCTCTCTCTCTCTCTCTCTCTCTCTCTCTCTCTCTGTGTGTGTATGCACACATAGCTTCCTTCCAGCAGAAGTGTTGCCTATACTAATACAGATATGCCTAAATCTGGAAAGTTCTCTGAAAATGGCTCAATGTAATCCCCAATAAATATACTTAACTCTGCATTACGCTGACTCATCCCACCTGTGCAGGCAGGGAGGGTATGTTATGGACCTCATCAGTTAAAGTTTTAATTGGCAGGATCCAGGAAGAGAGCCTTCTCTGATGTTGCCCCTGCCCTTTGGAGTGTCTCACTCCCAAAGTTGAGGCATCTACACCCCTCTCTTGAAGGAATGTCTAGACCAGGGGTAGGCAACCTTGGCTCTTTTATGACTTGGGAACTTCAACTCTCAGAATTCCTGAGCCACCATGGTTCAGCTTGGAAACTCTCCCTTTCCCCTCAGCACAGCTGACTCAGGAATTCTGGGCGTTGAAGTTCACGAGTCATAAAAGAGCCAAGCTTGCCTACCCCTGGTCTAGACCTAACTGCCAATTCAATGGAGGAGGTCTAAGAGTGATGGCAACTCTGGGGACTGTTGGTGGTTTGAGGGCACTCCCTCCATTTCTTTTTAACTTTTTAACATGGTCTTTTTTAACATACAACCTTGTTTTTAATTCTCTTAGATAGGCATTGATAAAGAGGCAATATCCTTCTTTCCATCTGATTTATAAAGTGCAGTGCAGGCTGTGTGCAGACAGTTTTGTTCTCTCACACTGCTTGCAGTCCTCAGTGTATGCCTCTGCCAGTCAGTCTCTTGCTCTGCTAATAGTGGCATAGCCTCTCTCCTAAATCATAGGAGCAGCTGATGTCCTCCAGATGTGTAGGGGCTGCAACTATCACTGACCCTGGCCATTTTTCAGGTAGCTGGGAATTCTGGGGAGGTGCAGATCCAACACATATGTAAGATATTAGGTTGGGGAAGGCTGCAAAATGCCATGGGATCTGAGACTCCGAAGCATAAGGGGTTTTTGATAAGTTCATGCCTCCTCTCAGATTGCACTAATTAAAGAAGACAGGCTTATCTCCTTTTGACTTCTAACTAAAAGTGGCATAACTCACAATCACTATGAGTTATGTAATAAGTCAAAATAAAGTTAAAGGAACAATCTGTTCCTCATAGAGAGGCTTTATCTTTTCCTATGTTCTCTCCACATTTTTCCCCAACTGCTTTTTCTTTAGTTTTGCATTTTATTAGTTTTGGTGAAATATTTTGTGGCAGTTATGAGCATATCCTTGGGAGGTCTTCCTTACTATTTTAGGAAAATAGCAAGTCCAATTCTTAATTCCAGAAATATGTAGCAGAAGCAACAGAATTTCTTTTCATGCCCAAATTATTTTTGGTATCTAACGTACTTCCCTAAGTACGTTAGCTGTTTATATGGCCTCTCTAGGGAGGGCATTGTAAGTGCGCTACTTCTCTGCTGATTTATGTAAAAAGGGACACAGCAAGATCTGAAATATTCATATTTTTAGCACCATGGATCTCCTGCACCCATTTAGCTCCTCTTCTCTTTAGCTCCTCTTCTCTTTATTCAAGGCAGACCTGTGTCACCAATACACCCCTTTCTGAAGTAAGAAAGGCATTTTCTCCTTAGGAGAGCAAGGAGTTTCCTTTGCAGGATGTTGCCTCTTGATTAGTCCCAAACCAATCTGACAAACCATTACATCACTTTTTAAACAAAGTATTTTAATATTGATAGTGTACATTTGGACCAAAACGTGAAAGTAAAATCGCCTCTCATAAAATGGGATTTTGATTTTCATTCATTCAGTTGTGTATAAAATCCTGTGGAGCTGAAGTTCCACTGTCTGTCTCTCTCAGATGGAAAGTGTATTGATTGTGTTCAAACAAAACTATCTGCTGTTTTATTACTTAAGTACATCAATGAATTGTCCTTTCCCCCATTTGTTCTCTTCATATATTTAGATCCACTTTTGACATACCGTATTTTAAAATAAGCATATCAATAATAAAATATGTCATCCTAGATTTTTTAACAGGAGGAAACTCTCACAAGAAACTATATTGGTATGACATTATTGGGGGGTCAGGAGAAGGAAAGAATGGATAATGCTACCTTTGTTTCAAAAAATAAAACATGTATAAAATAAAACTTTGAAACTTTTTGATGTCCAAAGTGATAAATTTAAAGGCATCCAAGATACCTTTTTCTTTTCCTGTTCTTTCAAATTCTTCACTGTGGCACCCACTGGTGGTTGGTAAATAAAACTACTAGCATTTAATTTATAGATGATGACTGTAACTATTACTTAGTTTCTGCATCTGAAAATCACAATCAGTTTATAATATAACAGTCAAATAACTTTGTTTGTAATTCTCTATTTTGTATCCCAGTCAGTGGTGGGATTCATCCAGTTCGCACCAGTTTGGCAGAACCGGTAGCTAATTTTTTGTTGCCCAGGCCCAGAATGGACTTCCAGAAGCGGCATCCACACAGAGAACCGGTTGTTCACATATTTGAATCCCACCACTGATCCCAGTTTATGAGTTTCTTTACATGTTTCCAGGGACGTGGTTGAAAAGCAGTTTAGGCATTGTTGAACAAAAAGGAAATACATTGACCGGGACCTATATTGCATCCCAGCTGGGATATTAGGTTGCAGCCATGTCACCCACAAATCCAGGTAAGACTGATCTTTTATTTGCCCCAGTATAAATTATATAGCATTGGGAAAGTACAAAGAAGTTTCACTGTAGATTTTATTGTTCCCCATTTTATCCTCTAGCTCTTCAAAATGGAGAGTGCAGGGGCCTTTAGACTATTAAGGGTAGTGTCATACCCCATATAAGGGAATTGCTTAAAATGGGAAAAAGGAATCCTACACCACGTTTGTAAGAGCACTATTATTGGCAGATTCTTTCCTCTTTTATGACCCTGCAAGACATAGCCTAGTACAGAGTTCCCCAACCTTTTCAGCTTGGCGGCCTGGAAGAAAAGGGAGCAGCAGGGTAATGAGTGTGCGTGCAGCTCCATGAATGCATGCGCAAATGGGCATGCACACAATGATGTCACTAGCGTGCATGCACATGCACAAGTGGGCCATGTGCACCCTTGGCATGCGTGCTGGCACCTGAGTGCATGCACAAATGGGCTGCGTGTGTGCAAACGGGCCGCTGGCACCCGCATGATGTTGGCAGCAGTGCTAGCGTCCCCACACATGCGCAAATGGGACCACTAGTGCCACAGCAGCGGTGCTACTGCGAGTGGGGCAGAGCTCACCAACTATTCCCAGGACCTGGTGGCCAACAGGCCATGGCCCAGTACTGGGCCATAGACCATAGGTTGGGGACCCCTGGCCTAATATGTGCAGAAAATACTTTTTGCTAGAGCTTTTCAGGATACTGAAAAGGGAAGGGAAATTGAAAGATCCATTTTAAAACTTGACATTAGTCCGTCCACAGTAAGTTTTATATTATGCAGTACTATGTTTAAATAAAGTATGCATTTCAGAATAACATTTTATTGATTTATCCAGGAATTCTGAAAACAGACATTAAAGTTCATTAAGATTTTCCAAGTACTTCAAGTAGACATTTTTTTACAAAAAAGAGTTTTAGGCTTAAAGAGGCTAAATACGCTGCATCCATTTAGGTCACTAGCATTTTTGATGCCTGTAAAGCTACCAGGACAATTTCCAAATAGTTGTAGGATAATCCTCAAATTACATCATTATTACAGTATGTAGCACATGGTGATTTCAAGATTTATACTTTTCCTGCCATAAACAGAATGATTTTCCCTTTAACTGCATGACTTGCCACATATGTGCAACATAATATGGTTGTCAACTCTGATATATAATCAGGTGTAGTCTTGATTTACACATAAACAGAATGAGCTAGGAATAAAATAAAAATTGTAAAGTGGGAAATGGATTATATCCCAGGTCAGACCTCCAATGATGGATCCAAATTACAGTTTTAATGACTCTACTCAAGTAAATAAATAAATAAATAAATAAATCCTAGTTAGAACATGATTCCTTGATGCACTAATCAGGTAGAAACTCTTGCTTGCACATGCAGAGAACGCTACTATCTTCCCAGCCTATGCACAGGCTGGAAAAGTGCTTCCCATTTGACTACCTGACATGGCTGTGTGTACAGACCAAACAGTCAGGGAAATCCTGTAAATTTCCTAAATCACCTTTGTGCAGTTTCTGACAATTAGAGCCTGAGGAAATTCACCAATCATGCTAAGTGAGATTGCAGATAAACAGTTCATACAAGAGACTTACCAAGCCCACTGGCTGACTCTTGCCCTATTGCATGATTCATCCTGTAGGCAAGACATCTCCACATAGATGCTCCAGGTTGCAATCCAGACAATAGCACTGGCCCATTGTTTTGGTTGGTTCCCCTAACCAAATAATTTGTGTCAAAGTGCTGTGAACTGCACTTTATTTATTCACGGTGTTCTTGGCATATGCCTGTTCTGGGATACTCTAAGTAATTCAAATCACTGACATCCCTCAGCTCTGGAAACCTGTGTAATCAGGGCTGCTGCCTGATACCATCAGAGAATACTGCTAGAAGTGGATTAGGGCACATCAGATGATACTCTGCTGCAAGGGGTTGTGTTGAGAGATAGCCTGTGACTAAATATACAGTAAAATGGGTTAGAAAGCTTGGACTTGCCTATCCTTGGTATTTTAATTTCCCCCTTTATCTCATAGGTCACATTGTAACAAAGAACAACAATACTGATCAGAAGCTGTCTGTTTTGGCAGTTCTTGGAGGGATGGTTCTTATACTGCTTGTTCTGCTGTGCCTCCTTTTATACTATTGCAGGTAAAATGTCTCATTTTTATAGATAAATATATTTGTAGAATGGGTCAGTGTAAAATATACGAATGGAAGGGAAAGAGGCCAAATTATTTTCTATCAGATCTTTTGTGGAACACTTTCATATTTGAGTAAGTACATTTTAGCAAGCCTTCCATGAATTCATAATTTCCATAAGTGAACCAGTATGTTTGGATTCTGCTTACTAGTGTAAATAGGCTACCTGAAGATTATATATGAGCTATCCACAAACCTGCGCCATTGAGGAAAATTCTTTATGTGGACCTAAGTTTATTTTATTAACTTAACATATTATATTGTATACTATATATCACATAATATACTGAATATTATCATATTCATATTTTCAGAATTGATGCTCTTATCCTAAATAACTTTTGAAAATGGGATATTACAAATGTTAATAACAGAAAACAAAAAAAATAGGATAGATGATGCAGCTCATGTTAATTTTTCTATTTGCTTGTGGAACAAGCCATATTATGGAGTAATCTATTTTAAAACTTGAAAGTATCAATAATCGTTTATGAAATTGTAGCATTTTTAAACCTAAAAAAAGTAAAATTTCTCTAATTTTACCACAGTATATGTAATCAATGTGATGTTTGCTGAAACAAGAGTTACCGGTAAATCAAGAATAGTAACATTTTTTATTTATTTCTTAAAAGTTTCTTCAGTAAAAGTAGCTTATTGTTAAAAAAGTCCTATTAAATATATTACCTGCTAAAAATAATTTTAACAAAAATAATTATAAGGCTGAGTTTCTTCTGTTATATCTGCGTCTACTATGTTGTTTTTTATTACAGTATTTCTTTTCTTTTCATAATGAGTAGTTATCTCTACAATTGAAATATCTAATGTAATACAAGGAGGTTTTTGAAGGTAAAAAGCCCCGAAAAATAAGGAGATGTTGGTATGCTTGAAAAAACAATATTGAGAAAGCAAATAAATAGAAAAAGTGGCAAAAAGAAGAAGAATTTCCATTGAGGACCGAGCCATAGAACATTCAGTTTGGGTTGCAAAATAAAATCAGGAGGTGTTAATTTGCTTGAGCCTCTTACAACCTTCTTTACCTCAGCACTGTCCACTTACAGTGGACCACAATTCCCATAACTTCTACCGACTGCCTTGGGCAGCCAGGTTTATCATAATTAGAAGAGAGTATAGGTGTTTGAATACCTAAGTATTCACTAGATCATTCTTTTGCTGCAAGTCCCATTTAATTTTTTTCTGCTTCTTTTTTTAACATTAGGAGAAAGCTTTTGAAGCCCCGTCAATTATTTAAGAAAGTACGGTTATCCTCAACAATCAGTGGTTCAAAGAAGGATCAATCAACTTCTATGTCCAATGTCAATTTAGTAGTTTCCCAACATGAATCAGAATTCCCTAGTGGGCTCTCCATTACTAGCAACAGCCACCCAGAATCCTTTGACCACAAGGAAGTAGTGATTGTGGATGTTCATGCGAGCCAAGGATGTTCTGTAGAAGAAGCAGATATGCATACCCCTGTGTTCCTACATACTTACAGCACCTCACAGGAATTTAGTCCCAGAGAGGGATGGCTTTCCCATAAGGAAAATGATCGAAGCCACACATCTTTAGTGAGCATGGCATCTTTTTTTATAAACCCAAGCAAGTCTCTAGAGAAGATAGAAGGTTCTCCTGACAAGGGACACTCTAAACACAGTTACAATACAATGTTAAGCCAGTCTTTATTTGAGAAGCCAGAGGAATCAAGGTTCTCAATTGAATTATCTAGCGCAGATTCCCAACAAGAAATGCAGCCGCAACAGAGGCAGCCACAACACCTGGCTGCTCAAGCAGTATCCCAGCAACATTTGCAAGAAGTTGGTACAGGTGACTGGAAACCGCAGTACATTGTGGTGACTGAATCATTCGAGACACAGCTTCAGTGCACAGCATCCCTCAGTGACGAGCTTCTTAATAAGAAAGCTCAAACGGAGCTAGGTGGAGGAAAGTCTTTGCCTCCTTCTCGAGCATGGTTTGTTTCTTTGGATGGGAAATCCAATAGAGTTAGACATTCCTACATTGATCTTCAAACATCTGGAAGGAATGGAATTAATGATATCAGCCAGGATTCTACAGATGACATAAATGAGCCAAAATCTGCCAGAAAGGGAAGGGCAGGTCATTTACAACAAACCCACCAGCAAGTGCAGATGTATCCACAGAAAGATTTGGATGAAGTGGACCAAAGTGGCAGTGAATATGAAACTATGGTTTGTATCCCTCAAGGCAATAGTCGAAGATGTGTGTTGGAGGGAGGGAGAAGGAGAAGAGATGGCCAATTGCCCAGCCTGCAGGAGGAAACAATAAAGAGAAATGTAGAAAGTCCATCCAACCCTTTACCAAGTCCAGAACATAAAATCACTACATGCAGTAAAGCTGATTGTGATGGTAATGACACTGATGAACATAATCATCAGAGGGAAGATAAACAGACTCCTTGGCAAAAGCGAGAGGAAAGACCAGTCATACTATTCAATCCGAAGTAACGTATGTTAGATTTTTTGTGTGTAGAGAATATATAATTGCCATTTTTTTTATTAATTGAAGAAAAAAAAAGATGAATTAATCTTTTGGGTGAGTTGCAACTGAAAAAGATAGTCAAGACATTCAAGATAATTTTTGTACAAACTCACCTAGTTATTTTGCAAAGTTTGTATGAAAGTGTGACTTTGGATTCCATTTACTTGATATTGGCCATCAAGGATCCATCATTTGGATATTTTGATATGTGGTATGGCAGATTATAATCTCAGATTTTCCTGAAAAAGGGATCTCTGTGTGAAACTTTATTATTATAATTTCTTAATTCTTTCTTATTTCTTAATTCAAATATATCATAATGATGTTAGTCGAGTTCAACACTTGACATCTACAGATATGCATTATTTCAAAAGAAGGCTATGCAGTTTTTTAGTAATCTTGTTTTTGTTTTAACATACTTATTTACAAAGTAGTTCCAAAATGTTGGCTATCTTTAGTCTGCCTAGCCATCTTTTTTTTTTCTTGACACAAAACTTGACAAGCTATTCTTGGTATCTGAAGAGCCTTTTGTGAAGTCAGCTTTGATTCCTTCAATCCCCATTCTAAGTGCCTTTTTACAGGAACAATGAACAGTGTTTTCTTCTGCTAGCGACTTGAATAATCAAAAAAATTCTGAAACCATATCTGTTCTTTAATTTGCATGCTAACAAATGTCTCTGCTGAATGACTCTTTATTTCAAAACAATGTATTCGCTAGTTTTGGTGTGTGCTGTGAATTCTGTTTAGCAAGGGTAGACTATAGGTCATCTTTAAAAAACCCAAAGCAGCCAAAACAGTTTCACTGATTGTATATATGATGTATATAGTTTCAAGTAACATGGATTTTGGACCAAGCAAGTGGACTGAATGTGTCCTAAAAATGTCAGGCAGAATTATTATAAACTATCCAAAAGTGATATAATCAAAACATATAGATTTTTGTTTATTTTCTCTTTATAAAACTGCTTGGTTATCCAAAAATTATAATTCAAAAATGAAGTTTTTGAAAACTTTAATTTTTTTTTTAAAAAATCCTCTTTGAAATTACAATATTATTATTGTAAAATAAAATACTGAACATGTAATGTGAAAGTTATATGTACGGATTTTGGACCAAGCAAGTGGACTGAATGTGTCCTAAAAATATCAGGCAGAATTGTTATAAACTATCCAAAAGTGCCAGATAGATTTCTGTTTATTTTCTCTTTATAAACTGCTTGGTTATCCAAAAATTATCATTCAAAAATAAAGGTTTTGAAAACTTATGATTTTTTTAAAAATTCCTTTGAAATCACATTATTATGTAATGTGAGAGTTATACTTAATTTGCCTATGTCCTGTGATAAATATTCATCAAATAAAAATGAGTTATTACATGAATTTATAGAATGAATTATAGTCATACAATGCAAGGTAGAAAATTGTACTATTAATTATCTTTGACATTTGCTTGCCCCTTACCTTTTCCTGCAATTTTCCACAAATTAAACATTTTTAGCTTCCCTGGTTCCAAGAACACTATTCTCTGTCTTGAAGTACCTGTTCCAAAGAGAAAGTAGCCATCTGAAAAATGTCACTAGGCATGCTAGTGTGGATAGGTTTAGCACATTGTCCATGTAAGAAACCATGGCTTCTTTTAGATTAATCCAGATGGAGGTGAACTTACCAAGTAATATGAATAGGAGTAGACTGGAATCTACAGGATTTAAAAGCAAAAGAGATGGAGGAAGAAAGAACCTTTCTTCCATCTAGCACAGACATGTCAAACACAAGGCCCGGGGGCCGGATGCGGCCCATGAAGTGGTTTCATGTGGCCCGCGAAGCCATCCTGGAAACAGTGAGGGAACGGCCTCCGCTGCCTTGGCCCAAGCCAGCTGGGAGCCAATGTACAATTTTGTGGTGGCCATCTATGCTGAAATGCATTCAGTCTTAGCTCCACAAGGCCGTCTAGAAACAGCGAGGAACCAGCCCCTGCTGTGTCACCCCGCCCCCTGGGTGCATGCTGGGGAGGTGTCACCCTTTGTGAAGAATGAAGAAATGCACCATGCCTTGGCGCTTGCCCCGGTCCCATCCCCTTCTGCCAGAGACCCTCAGATCTGTCCCACTCCGCCCAGGCCCCCACAGGCACCTTTGACATGAACGATGTAGAGCTGGCCATGCCCACCCAATAGGCCACACACACTCCATCCACGCCCACCCTGGCGACACCCACCCGGCCCCCCAAGGGCAACCGCAATGCTGATACGACCCTCAATGAAATTGAGTTTGACACCCCTGATCTAGCATATGTGCCACCAATTTTCTCTTGTTGGTTTTTCCTAAACAGAAAAAAATCTGCAAATGATACCTAGCTACCCACTACAAAAGTGTCTGCAATATTAGTCAGGGAACATCTGTCAGCTGACAACAGCAGTTTGCTAGGTTGTAATCATAGTTAATTCTTTGCTCTGATTGGGACTCATGACTCACAAGGAGAATATAAGTAAAACCCCCACAAAGGAAGTATA